GGAATTGTTTAACTTTTTTTAACCATAACTCCTTCAGGATGTCTTTTGATCAGATCGAGTGAAATAAACTCAACAGCTTGAGATATTGACATTTACAAATATCATATATGTATCTAGAATCCATCAAGCCCTGGCACTAAGAGATGGGACTCGAACCCACGACCTTTCGCAATCCGAGCGACTGTTCTAACTACTGAGCTACCTACCCAGGATCTAACTGGACTGACGAATTTTTCAAGCTCTAATAGAGATAATCCGAGCGGCTGTTTTAACCACCTACTACCTACCCAGGACCTAACTGGACTGACGAATTTTTCAAGCACTTGTTACTTTTCGCTACTATTGTGCGTATTTTCATCAATGTTCAGGCAATCCACCCAAACAGCCGAAAGAAATATTTTTACAAATATTTAAACTTTCGATAAAGTTGAAAATTTGTTCTAATTATTATATTTGATGAATTTTGCATTCACAATGTTATTGTGAAGAAAATTCTTAATGAGAACTGCTTAAAAATGCACTTTATCCCTGACACACTCAGAAGGGACTTAAACTCTCAATATTATTCAATATAGTATAGTTTCCGTTATAGGATTGTAAATGCAAAACTGATCAAATGTAAAAGGGTTTTATAAAGTTTAACCCGAAATAGGGGTTTGAAAATCATTTATGCTATTAAGGGCGATGCTACGAGTGGAAAGTATAATAATAAAACAGATTTATAGCTAAAAGATCTGTAATTTTGCTACAGTATGATTTTTAAGCAATTTAAGGGTAGTAATTTACGGCATATAATAATTCCTTATCTAATTTAATTTGCAACTCAGAATGAAGGGAGGAGCATATTTTGGTTATACAGTCAACAAGACGCAATAAAACAAAAAAAAATTGAGCACAACCAAATTGCAAACAAAAAAATGATCTGGCTTTATGTGATGTTACCTTTATGATTGTGATATGAATATGTGACTGACTGGCACAAAAAGTATCAACTAATCATACAGGTTTTTTTTGGCGGTACATTAGTATGTTCATTTGAATTAGAGTGGTTCTTCACATTACTGTAACTTATCACAGTTACAACTTCAAAGTATGTCTTTTACTCCCTTTTGACAATGGAATGTTGAGTGTGAGGAATGATGCAGAGGTTAAGTAACTCTATTACGTCCACACTGCAGAGGCTCAGGCTTTCCTTATCGTCATTGATCATCAAGGATGATGGGCCATGATTCTTTATGCCACTTTAACCACTGCAACTGCAACCGGGACCAACGGCTTAACGTGCCTTCTGAAGGACGGAGTATCTGAAAATAATAATTTTTTGGTCACCCATCCGGTGACCAACCCTTGCGAAAGTTGTTTAACAACAAGGATCGCGGGCCGCGGCAGTTTGGTCATTATCCTATAACTAGCTCGGCGGCATAGTAGATAAGTGTTATCTACTATGCCGCCGAGCTAGTTATAGGAGAATGACCAAAAATGTAGTCTCTTTCATGCTTCGGAAGCCACGTTAAGCTTTGTAATATAAGTTTCGCCTATATTACAGTCGTTTACATCCCAAGTCTAGACTAGGGCTTCCGATCCCGCAGCCTGTGTTCAATTTCAAAACCCGGGATCACGGTATTTGCGGAATGCCGCATATAGAAAATATTACTAATTATATAAGGTAAATAAAACAGAGAATGAATCAACATAACTTAAATTTATTAAAGTTTTAATATAAGCATGATATCAATCAAATTAGGCCGTTTATTTGTCACTGAAAACAGAAATAAATACTGAAAAAAAAAATTACAAAATGTATTAGTTATAAATAAAGATATAAATAAAAAAAATAACAATTTCAAATGAATGTTAACAAAAGTTATTAAGACGTCAATTATTTAGTTAGGTGCACAGTCAGTAATCCAGCGCATATAATCCCGCAACACGGGATTGGAAATATGGTATAGGGTCCCGTAATACCGAGATCTCGGTATTCCGAGATTGAAAGCCCTAGTTTACACCCACCGATTTCAATGTTTCGATTTGATTCCATCTATAGGGAAATACTTCAGTAGTCAGAATACTAATGATGACGACATGATGAAAAGTAAGCTATAAACATTCTCAACCAGAGTTAGGGTTAATTAATTCATTTCTCATTTAGATTCTTGATTAAAATATTTCCAGAAGTTTATATATTACTAGCTATTTTCCCACACCGATAAAACAATTTTTAAGATCGGTCCACTAGTTTCAAAGCATATTCAATACAAGCAAACAATCAAATCTTTCCTCTTTTTAATATTAGTATAGTTTAAGAAGTATTCACATTCGAAGCCAACAGTAGAATCTACTCATCAATATGTAAATTAATTTCCTAGGCTACATACAACCATTGTTCTGAATAAATAGAACGATAGTATTCTTCACAACGGAATCTACGTCATGGCGTGGGTAGGGTAACCATATTCTGAAGTACAAATATCGGAGTTATCGGAGGCCGCTGTATAAGATCGGAAATCGGAGATCGGAGACCGTAAAGAATGGACATATTTTTTCTCAATAAATTTACGGCCATAAGGTAACACAGTCTAGATTTTAATATTCCGACCGAAAAACTTATATTTCCGGAGAAAATGCTAAAAATGGTGACTCTACATTATAGGGATCGAAGCCATTCGGTTGAGTGTCTCGTAAACTCTTCATTGTTGCTATAAAAGTGCTCTGTCGTCAACAAGGCCATAGAATAGTTGAAGGCAGAGGATCTTTAATGCTCACATTCTCAATGTATGTCCTTTCTGTTACTTTAGAGACGTGCTTATATTTGCCAATTTAAAATTATTTTATGAAAATTAAACATATGGCTAATAGTTTGCAATAAAAAGAATCATAAATTTCAATGATTGACTCGATAGAAAAAAAATCGCAACGATAACTCCAAAATAGATCCTTTGAATTTGTTTACGACTAATATATTTCATCTCTTTAAAAAATATGTACAAAACTAAGTTTTGATATAATCTAAAATTATGAAAAGATTAATTTTTTTCTGCTTTTGTAATTTTTTCTGTGATAAAAAATGTATAAAATCTATTAAGCGCTTCTTTACTCTCGATGAGTTTTTTTGAGTACCTAATTGTAACGGAACTTATAAGTTATGTTTGCGTTATATATATTGTATATAACGCAAACATAACTTATATATATTGTACCTACCTAAATCATTAGACTAATATTAAAAAATATACAAGATACTTTATGTTATTAGATCTATTTTGAATATCTTCCTAAAGAGTTGATTGAAATCTTAAAATTTTATGTAGTCACGAGCTTACCGCTGCTAATGTTTTGTTAATGTTAAAACTTTTGTAAGCAAAGTTTTAACATATATGTTGAACACCGTCAGTTGGACTGACCTATTTAAATATTTGTTTATGTTTTGTCAGCTTTTTTATATAGTTTGATTATCAGTTTCAATTAATGTTTTTTGACGGCACCTGTTTTGTCATCTTATATATATAGTTTTGTTAAAAATATTATCCTAAGTGTGTTTTATGTTTGCACCCGTAGTATCCACACTCTCCTTTTCGTCTCGTCATCTCGTCTTATTAAATATCTGACTTACTCTTTCATAGGTTGACGTTTTTTGATAGAGCCTTTTATTTCCGATTATCCGCCATTTTGCTACAGCGATTGTGCGGCTGTGCCGGACATGATATAGTCGTAAAGTAAGGACTGAGATAACAGAAAGAATAATAACAGTAAAGTTGTCGGCACCCATTACCTAATCAGACCGTCAGGACTAAGGAAGCTTAGCTTAGGACTACGGTGTATAATAAAATACGCCTGCTGTTGGCGACTGGCCGTTCAGATTTAGGTTAAGTTCTTTTTAGAAGTATTAATCGTCAAAATTATTTATGAGTTTACTTTTTTTTTCTAATAAATCATTGTTCGTCGGGATGTCAGCAAGGGATTTTTATTTGCTATTTCTAAATTGTAAAATTAGTCTTTAATATCGAAAAAATTAGCTGTGGTGGCAGAGCTACGTCGCCGGCAGTTGGAGCGCGACCGCGTTTATGAGCTCAAGCGTCGGGAGGTAAAGGAGTTGGAGTTGGAAGCAACACTCGCCGAACTGGACTCGGAACCTTCAGGTCAGAGTATCATTGCTTCAACTCGCATCTAGCGTACACTGTCCTGGGTTAAGAGTGTCCTGTATGAACACCATGACATCTCAAATGAGCCAACCGTTGCACAAGCCGCCCCCATTCCACCACTAGCGACACCCTTGTGTAACAACTTGGATACACATGTAAACCCAGCGTGCGCACAACTTCTTCCTAAACCTGCTCAGAGTGATATCGCCCAACTGGCTAGCGCAATAGCGGCGCTGCCTACATGTGGTAATCCAAGCCAGTTACCTACGTTTACCGGTTGTTAGAAAGAGTGGTTTTCATTTAAATCAACCTTTTTCAGAACACAAGATAAATTCTCTCAATCACAGAATGAAGTTAAAGTTAAAGCTCTGCGCGGCCCCACACGCGAGTCCGTGGCGTGTTTACTACACACCATCGAGGACCCACACGAAATTATGCGTGCACTGGAGCTGACTTACGCCCGTTGTGAAATCGTCGTAGCCCATGAGGTAGCATTATTATGCTCCCTTCCTAAAGTGAGTACACCTGAGCAACCCGAGTGCAACCAGATCCCGAGTGCGCGGGGCGCGGTAATTGTGTCCTGACGTGTTTACTTGGGCTCCGTATTCATTTCATTGTTAAATAACAAGTAATTGTTGGATATTGTACTATAGTATATCATTTTATTCGTCTAAATGCGAGCTTTAAAGGAGTGTAAATAAATATTCTGTGTGTGAAGTGTTCGTACAGCAAATTTTGATTTCGTTTCTTCATTTGACAGTTATTTTGTGCAAATCAGCTGTGCTTCGACCTTGAAAGTAGCTCGGTCATTCACCTTGCGACAATCAACGTATATGTGTCGTACTGATACTTAAATTTGTCATTAAGTAGTAGTGCTGCGCGGCGCGGGCAGTTTTTGTTCACTTCGCCACGGAAGTCCGCGGTTCGAAACCGAACAGCCACAAAAACTTTTTTTTTTTTATTTTTTGTTTCTCCCTTTTTCCACACTGAGAGCTACATTACACTTAATCAAAAATTTTAATTTCTACAATGGCCCCCGGAAAATTGAAATGCGCTGGATGCTTGCAAATTATTACTGATAGGCAATACTTAAAATGCTGTGTTTGTTCGGAGTACTATGACATACTTTGTGCTAATGTGTCCGAACAACGCTTTCGAAACACACTTACTGGACAGCACAGAACCAACTGGAAATGTGATGCATGTAAGAACTCGGAGCCTAAAGCAGATAACCGAAACACACTTATTCGTGAACATGATGACAAGGTCATGCGTCGTCGGGGTGCCTCAGCCCTGAGTCCGCCTGAGGAGCGCTTACCGGTTCCTGTTTCTGCGGATATCGAGTGTAAACAAGGGGACATGCAAACACTTATTAAAGAATTGCGCTTGTTAAGAAAAGAAATGCAGGAAACTCGTCTCCAGGTTCAAGTCCTTAATGAAACCTTGGGTGCGCTCGGGGCACGTGTGGATGTTTGTGAGAGCAGGTTAGACAAACTGACTTCCCGTATTGAAAATATAGAATCTCGTGGCATGGGTTCGGTGACGGGCTGCGACGGTACGGCTTTGGCCAATACCATTGAGTCTCTGAGGGCCGAACTAAACGAGCGTGATCAGGAGCTGCTGATGAACGATTTGGAGATCACTTGCATACCAGAACAAAAAGGTGAAGGTCTCCAGCACATCGTCATGACGTTGGCAAATAAGCTGGGAGTTAAACTAGAGCGGCGGGATGTGGTGAGTGCCGTTCGCGTCGGACGAGTGCTGAACGTTGGTGGCGACGGCATGTCGTCGGCATCGCGACCTCGCCCCATAGTTGTCCGCCTAGTACAGCATTCTTTACGAGATGACCTACTTCAAGCAGCCCGTGTGCGCCGGGGAGCTACCACCGAAGGCCTCGATCTTCCTGGCCCGCCTCGTCGCTTCTACGTTAATGAGCGCCTGACGAAAACAAATCGTTTATTATTTCGTCAAGCGCGTGAAATCGGAGAGCGTCTTGGATGGCGTTTTATATGGACCAGGGATGGGAAAATTTTTACTCGGCAGCACACTGGGCAGGGTGTTCCTCGTCACCGTTTGCGTACTGTAGCCGACCTCATCAGTGTTTTTGGTCCTGAGGCCGTTGGTTCTGTATCCGTTTAAGCCTGGACCAACATCTTGTGTAAAATTGCTTTGTTGCTGTTTTTATATTGATTTTGTCCATTACTTTATTTGTTATTTTAGACATTCATTCAATTATGAGTATGACATTGTATCTATTGTTAATTTAATTTGTATATATTTGAAATTCAAAGATTGTATAATGTTCATTATAATATTAATAATATATAGTTTCCTTTTATGTATTAAAAATGCTTATTTGTATATTGATTATATATATGACATTGAACTTAATTTAATAGAATTTAATAGAATGTTAATAACTAGATTTTTTTGTTACCTTATATGTCTTGAAGGAGCTTATTCGTTTACTCAGTATTGCTTATTATTTCCTTCCGCTAAATGTTTCATGTGTTTTTCTGATCTGTCTGGCTTTCCTTTGGTATTTAGTGTGTTCTGTGATCATAACTTCTATGTTTTATATCTGTGTGTAGCAGCATTGTACTCTTATAACTTAGAGGCACTGAAATGGACAGGAAACAATTATATTCATGCATCTTTTTCTCCCTGCGAAATAATTTTACGGCAACTATATGTAATGACATATTCGGTTACCTTTCATTCACTAATTAGGAATATTATTAAATTGCATATACTTATACACTTTGTGACATTTAAGAAGTTTGACGAATTAATATACTCACTTACATTATTATATGCACAACATAATTATCACTTTATAAATTATATTAATGCATCTTTTTCGCACTGTGAAACAATTTTACATCGACTATTTATAATGATGTCTTATACAATTAATTTTTGTTTACTAATTGAAAATATTACTGGATTGCACATACATATACATTTCGTGACATTTAAGAAAACTGACGTATTAATATGCTCATTTACATTTTTATATGCACAAAATAATTATATCTTTCTAAATCATAAAATATGTAATCGTAGCTTTAATCTGAGTTTATCTTACCCGACTTTATTACTAATTGCTTCTGTTAACAGATATTCTATCGCGATCGCTTATTATTTTCTGCCATGGTTTGCTTCTTGGTTGCCGTATTTTGAATTGGCTTATTAATGCAGGCTACAAATAAATTAAAATTAGGTCTATTCAACGCAGGTTCCCTAAATACTGGTCACGATGATTTTGTGGCAGCTATGACACGTTCTGACGCCGATATTGTTGCGATTAACGAGACTTGGTTGCAAGAGGGACAGGAAGCGCGCGCCCCAACGGTGGCTGGCTACAGACTGCGAAACACTCCGCGCCCGCTGCACATGCGGTCCGGCAGGGGAGGGGGAGTAGCGTTTTATATCAAGACCGGTATTCGTGTTCGATATGTAAAGCATTCTGATGATAATATTGAGCAAATGTGGCTCACCACTAAGATAAATGGATCTACTTTTGCAATAGGTACCGCCTACAGGCCCCAATGGGTGAATGTAGATGTTTTTCTGGAGTCACTGACTAGGGCTGTGACTTATTTTGGCCAGAATGACTTCGTTGTCCTTATGGGCGATTTCAATATAAATATGTTGAACCAGACTGCGAGTGAAACGTTGAAGTTAAAACAGTTCCTCAATTATATGGACCTCGAGCAGGTTGTATCCGAGCCTACTCACTTCACGGAGGTATCACAGACATTGATCGATTTGATTTGCACAAATTGTCGTATTCAAAGCTTGGATGTTTCACATATATCGGGCCCAGTGGGTCACTGTATGATTAATGCTACCTTTTCAGTAAAAAAACCCAAAACCGAAACACGTGTTATTTCTTACAGGCCAATTAAACAGATAAATCTTAATGATTTCAATGCAGATCTGTACTCGTTGGATTGGAGATCGGTGGAGGCTCTTCATACGGTGGACGATATGGTGCTTTGTTTCCAACAGATGCTGTTATTTTTATTTGATAAGCACGCCCCTTATAAGATCATTAAGATCCGGCCCGGAAAATCTTTGCCATGGTTAACAGACAACATAAAACGTATGATGGATTTGCGTAATCGTGCCCTCAAGAAATACCGATTAACTAAGTCTGATGAGGATAGATTGGCATGGAAGAGTTTGAAGAGACTGGTGGAAGTAAGTTTAGCGTCAGAAAAGCGTGCTTACTTTGAACATTTCGTGAATACTCAGGCTTGTAATAGTAAGACTTTCTGGACACAAGTAAGGGAAAAGATTTTTGCTGACCCCTGCCATAATCATAGTCTTCCTGGCTCTTTCAGTGATCCAAATGCAATTAATTCCCACTTTTTGGATTTCTTGGGTAACAGCGACTTGTCTTCGTCTTATATTCGTTCTTTCGGGTCCTCTCGTTACAATGCATCCGTGTTTGGTTTGAGTCCGGTGACCGAAGGTGAGGTGGCAAGGCTCATTCTCTCCTGCAAGTCTAATGCTTGTGGTGTCGATGGTTTGAGTAGAGACATGATTCTTTTAACCTTGCCATGCACTCTAAGTGTCATAACAGCCATCATTAATCTGTCTCTTACTTCTGGCACCTTTCCTACCGGATGGAAGCATGCCCTGGTGACGCCGATTCCTAAAGTTGCTCATCCGTCGGGGCTAGGGGACCTAAGGCCAATTAGCATTCTGCCATTCCTGTCGAAAATCTTAGAAAAAGCGGTGTACTCTCAGTTATACAAATTTCTCGAAAGTAATGGAATTCTTCCTGCATTGCAGTCGGGTTTTCGTAGGAATCATGGTACGTCTTCCGCTTTGATTGATGTGGTTGACAATATCCTGTCTCAACAGGATGCTGGTCTTGGCACCGTTCTCACGTTACTCGATTACTCTCGTGCCTTTGACAGTATCAATCTGGATCTTCTCTTGGCCAAGCTTGAGTACTATGGTTTGGATAGCCTTTCGGTGAGATGGTTCGGAAGCTACCTATTTCAGCGTTATCAATCAGTTAAACTCAACGGACTTCCTGGCAGCTGTTCTTCACGGATATCAAACCCTAGGGAAATTAGGCGAGGTGTTCCTCAGGGCTCAATTCTTGGACCTTTGCTATTTATCATCTATACAGCGGATATGGTTGAGGTGATCAAGTACTGCAACTATCATTGCTACGCAGACGACGTGCAATTGTATATTTATACACATCCACACTCGACCGGTGAGGCTATTTTGAAGTTAAACGAGGACTTACAGAGGATTGCAAAATGGTCAGATGACAATGGGCTCCTTCTAAACCCCTCAAAGTCTAAATTCATGGTGGTCGGGTCTGACTCACAGGTTACTGGAATCATCCGCTCCGGTCCTTCTGTGTCTCTTGGAAACCAAAATGTGCAAATGGTTCAGGAAGCGCGGAACCTTGGGGTGCTCTTTGATTCCCGACTGCGCTTTGAAGCCCACGTTTTAAGTGTGGTCAAGAGTTGCATGTACCGGTTAAGGGTACTCTACAGGGTTCGCAACTTCCTCAGCGAGAGGGCTCGTGTAACACTTTGTGAATCAATAATTCTCTCGAGGTTCAACTACGCTGATGTAGTGATTGGCCCTCGTCTACTTTCCAGGACTAGTCAACTGATACAACGAGTTCAAAATGCCTGTTGTAGATTTTGTTTCCATGTGCCTCCACGTACTCATATTTCACCATTTTTAGACAAGGCTGCCATTCTTCGTATGGAATCCCGTAGGCAATTACACCTGGCATGTCTTGTGTATAAAGTCATTAAATATCGCCGACCCAAATACCTGTACGACAAACTATTATTTTCCACATCGCAGCACGGTATTAGATCTGTTCGACCCGTACTTGCGTATTATCATCATCGTACTGTGGCTTTCAGAGGTAGTTTTCGTTTTCAGGCAACCAAGTGCTGGAATGATCTGCCACCCCCATTGAGAAACCTAATTTCAATAAATACTTTCAAAAAAAAAATTAAAAACCTATTTACTCGAGCTTCAGAACATATGTTTAGTTAGGTGACTGAAATATTGATTTTTCCTGAAAGCTAACATTATAATTTTAATTTTAATTTATATTAATTTATATTTTTGACATTGACACAATTGACATTCTTTTATTTCATCGTATTATAATCTCATGTATATATTTAAATCTATTTAATATTAATTTGTTACTAACTTGACCTCCGTGTTATCTAATTTATCATTATTTATCTCACATTACATTAATAATATTTCTATCTTTTATTTTGGACATTTTTGAATTCTTCCTATTGATATGACATTGACAATAATCTGCCCCGCTCACTCTGTACTGGGTGACGGCTGAAAATCGGTGCTTCACCCATTCTTGGGTGATTTACGTGCACCGAGCCTTGACCCTTATCTTACTGCTGCACACAGGTATATCACTTAAATGATTACGTGTTCTCAAATGTTATTTGTATTGTACAAGTTGTGATGTAATTGTGTGTTGTTGTATGAATAAACTATTTATCTATCTATCTATCTATCTTAGCAACTCAATACGTTTGCGAATAAAGTACGTGACTGTGTCGCGATCATGAAATCGCTCAAACAAGAACAATATCTTTATTCCCCTGAAATTTTAAGAACTGTGTTGTGGAAAGTCAACGATTTGACTAAGCCGCGGATTACTGATTATGTTGCTGACTCACATATTGAAAATCTGTCATAGTTAAAAATGTTTTCTCTCTTTCTTGTAAGAGAAGCTGATAGGTAAGGTATGCTTACGTACCCGATTTCGCTTATGTTTCTATTTCTTACACAAGCACTCAAAACAGATTGTTTATGCTTTCTAAACGTGGGAATGTTCATCATACTAATTCTAATAAGGAAGTTGCATTGCCAAAGTGCATTTATTGTGACAAAAGTCATAATATTAATGTTTGTAAAGAATTTAAAACTATTTCTCTAGAAAGTAGATGACAGTGGGTTCGTGAAAATAAATTATGTTTCAGATGTTTAAAAACTGACGTGCATAGGTGGAATTTCTGTAGAGCCAAACGTTGTAGCGTCGCTGGTTGTAACAGGCCACACCATTTTTTACTTCATGGCCCGCCTACGAACGTTCACAATGAAACAATAGAGACGTCGACGACTGCGGAACTTTGTTTTCATGATCCAGTACCTGAGCCACCGACAACTTCTCTTAATAGTTCCAAATCTAATAATTTACATACACTAAAGTCGCACTCTACAGATGATAACCCTGTTGCTAGTGTAAACTTTTCTAATATAGTGTGTAATACTTTAGAAAATTCGCCGTCAACGCCTCAAGCACGAGCCTTACTAAAGGTTTTACCGGTAATCGTTAGAGGCGCAGACGGTGAATTTAGTACCTATGCCTTATAAGACGATAGCAGCACTGCAACGCTTATTGACTCTCGTGTCGCCATCAGTCGTATCGGTGCTGAAGAAACTCATAGAGAATCAATAATCATTGAAGGTAGATATGTCTAAATAAACGTCTGTAGGAATCACTAAATTTTATATTAAAGGGCGCGACTTAAGTGAAGAGTATTTAGTTGATAATGCACACCATTGATTCTTTGAGTCTTTGTTTACAAAGCATAAACACAAGTGAATTGAATAAATTTGATTATTTATTATCTTTATCAGATGTTTTGACCTACGAAGATGCCAAACCAACCGTTCTCATAGGCGCTGGCGATTGGCGTCTTTCGTTGGCCAGAAAAACTCGATGTGATAAACCGAATCAACCCGTTGCTACACGTACAATTTTAGGCTGGACACTACATGGTTGTATACCATGTAAAACTAGGGCTGTCGATTACATAAATTATGCACTCGACAATCCTGGTGATTCAGGATATGATTCTATTGAGGCCTTAATGAGAGAACAGTGTAGACTTGATTGTTTAGGAATTTCCTAGCTACCGCCTTAAAACAGTGAGGATGATGAGCGCGCGCTTGACATAGTCAACACCTCAGCATGTCGCCTCCCTTCTGGTCTTTTTCAGGTAGGTCTTCCTTGGCGTCACAAAAAATCCATTATGGTTCCTGATAGCTACCCGCAAGCATTTTCTCGATTCAAATCTCTAGAAAAACACTTTTCTAAAGATCCAAAATTTGCTGCTGCATATAAAAACTTTGTAGACGGAATAATTAAAAAGGGTTATGCTTAGGAATGTTCTGTAGATACGTACTATGAGAGAGTTGCCAACAAAGATTGTGACGAGCACAGTCTTCGTTGGTATCTACCTCACTTTGGTGTGTACCATCCACAAAAAAAGAAAATTAGGGTTGTGCATGATGCGGCTGCTCAAACAAACGGGGTCAGCC